TTTTTTTTTTCAATCATTTGCTGTACACCTGAAAAAGATCTTCTGTCTTCAATCTCCTTAAGAAAATATATTGATGGAAAGTTAAAATCTCAAAACAGCAAGTTCAAAGTCAGAAGATTTCAGTCCTTGACATACGGATAATTGTTGGGTGCTGCCTTGGAGTTTGCTCAATTGATGTTCATCATATATAAACAGATTGAAACATTGTCAATCTTACCAACTCCATAATTTTTTTACTATATTTGAACTGATTATAAAAAATGTTATGAAAATCTCTTTGAAGATATTCCTCTTTGCCACTTACCATCTAGTGATTGTGCTTAAATATTTCTAAATAAAGAATGTCCATTAGAATAAGGCTTTAGGATGACCGTAAACATATCCATTCTTTTATCTGCTTATCAAGCCAACTTGTATTCTATCATCTATCTATCTATCTATCTATCTATCTATCTATCTATCTATCTATCTATCTATCTCTATTCAATCATCTCTCACATAATTAATGTATATTCTCTGTGCATCAGTTAAAAATATAGCACTAAAGGAGTATCTAATCTCTGTGTTTTTTATTTTTAGGAAAACGTAGTTGTTTGGGAGAGGGAGTGGCCCGCATGGAGCTGTTTTTATTTCTGACCAGCATTTTACAGAAATTTACCTTGAAGCCTCTGGTTGACCCTAAGGACATTGATGTCACTGCAGTTAAAAATGGACTTATATCTGTGCCACCACCCTACCAGCTCTGCTTCATTCCTGTTTGAAGAAATGATTGTCTATTTCTTCATTGTCATCTACAAATTCCCTCTTTCATTCACTTCCCTACAAATACTTAGAGGCACTTTTCTATGAGATCTCTTATCCATATCTCTGTATTTCTTCAAGATCTAGAATTGTCTGTAATTCTATTCTCCATATGCTGTAATTTTTGTATTGGCCACCATATTGACCTTAATTGTTAACTAATTTATTGCTACATTTTCACAATGAAGCAGAGGAGAATTATTAATGTATGCCAATTTAAATCCATTTCTATTCCATGTGTTATAAATTTTAACAGACTGTAATTGCTGGATTTTTTTTTTTACTTTTCTCATTTTGGGAATAATACAAGTGAAAAGGAAATTTAGAGTGGTCATGGTGGCCATATTGTGCTTCATAAAGATATGTTCAGAGAACAAAGGAGAAAAGCAGAATAGTTTTCTTGACTGAATATCATCTGGAATTATTAAAAGTTTAAATGTCAAAGTAAAAAATCTTTTTTCACCCATCAAAATATGAATGGATAGAAATCTATGGTATATTCACACAATGGAATACTAAGCAACACTGAAAACTGAGGAACTTATGAAATATAAAAAATGGATGACCCTGAAGGACCTAATGCTGAGTGAAACATCTCAGTCACAAAAGGAAAAATACTGCATAATGCCACTGTTATAATACAGGACTGACATCAGAGTTGGGAGGAAATTAAGAAAAAATGGTATTATTGTCATGACAGGAGTCCAGAATGAAGGCTGCATAGTGGAGTGGACCTGGGGGAGAGGGATTATAAAATAGTGGGGGAACTTTTACTTTTCAAAGAGAACAGTGTACTGGGGGGGGGCAGGGAGGAAAGGGCAACAATGAATGAATGGAAATCCAAAGTCTCTGTAAGTTTTCATTAAAATGAATTAAAAAAAGGGAAAAGGGGATAAATAATGAACACTGCATTGAACTAGATGAGGGAAAGAACCTGTTCCACTGATAATCTATTCTGGTTTACTTCATTACATGATTAAATCTGTGAGTTATCTGAGAAATCTTTCTTTACATTCTCAGTGAAACCTCTATGGTGAAGCAAAATCAGTGACCTCTTTCTTCACACACACACACACACACACACACACACACACACACACCTGTACCAAGTATCACCTGTCATGCTCCACAATACTGTACTTCTCCACTACTCCTGGTCCAATACCCATCAATAACTTTAATTCACCTCATTCAGATCCTAAAGCATAATATCAACCTACTATGTTCCTACTTAAGAGGTCAAGAGTTCTTAAAATTTTGAGAGCTTACATTGTCAGTTAGAAAAAGAACATTGATAACTAACTGATGGAAATTTTCAGAGCTTCATTTCCTCCTACATTTGGAATCAAGTTAACCTGTCAGATTTAACTCACTATTTATCAATCTCTAAGTAGATAGGAAAATTCATGTTTTATTAAATTCTTCCATTTGGAGGAATCTAGTCATTTCTCAAAGTAGAATGAAATTCCTGTCCTACCTGCTCTGCCCTCCACATCACAATCTCCTAGGCCCAGCTCAGATACCACTTATTCTATGCAATTTCTTTGACAACACAAAGGTATACAATTCATTCTTTTCTTTTTTTTTAAACAGAATTGTGAGATACATGATTTTATTTTACATTACTGTTTGCTGCAGGACAGTAGTAACATGTATCTTTCCCTACCTAAAGACAAAATACATTTTCTGAAAATTTGGACATTACCCACTGCATTAAATTTAAATTAAAATGTTTCCCATATAAAGCAAAGAGTACCAGCAGAATGTCTATCTGTGCTTCATTGACTATGCAAAGGCTTTTACTGTGTGGATCACAACAAGCTGTGGCTGACTCTGAGAAGAATGGGAATCCCAGAACACTTGATTATGTTTATGCAAAATCTATACTTGGACCAAGAGACAGTTGTCAGAACAGAGCAAGGAGAGAGTGCATGATTCAAAATTGGGAAGGTCGTCCACCAGGGATGTATTCTGTCTCCATACCTTTCCAATCTGTATGCAGAACAGATCATCTGAGACGCTGGGCTGTACGAAGAGGAGTGTGGCGTTAGGATTGGTGGAAGGTTCATCAACAACCTGTGTTATGCAGATGATACAACCCTGCTGAAGGGACAGCAGAAACCCCATTTTTATAAATTCCCATTAATGCTACAGGCAGAAGCAGGCCATAAAAATTCTTACCTTAAGGCAAAAAATTCTTAGCTTAAGTGCCCCGGCAAAGCCTTTTCTCTCCTTGAAAAGTAAGGAATTAACTAGTGTCTATGTGACACAAAAGAAGTAAAGACAGGCAAAGTAGCCAGCCCGTCAAAAGCCAACCAAATGACTGATCCCCCGGCCCGCCAATCTCTCTGCCCTAACAGGGGCACTCAAGAAAGGGCTATAAAAGCAAGTGGGAGGGGGAACTTGGGGCTTTTTTCCCTTCACCACCTTCCTGAGAAGGGAAAAAAAAGTCTCCATGTGTGGAAATAAAATAATAAATGCTCTTGAAATTTCAGACGTGTTTTTAGATTTCTTCGAGGGGCATTTTGTGGGCAGAACACCTGCTTGCTGAAACTGAGGAGGACCTAAAGATCTTGCTGCAAAAGGTCAAGGACTGCAGCTTTCAATATGGATTGAAGTTCAACATTAAGAAAACAAAGATTCTTACCACTGGGCCAATTGCCAACATCTTGATGGATGGTAAAGGGATTGAGATGGTTAACAGTTTTAGCTTGCTTGAGCCCAGAGTCAACTCTCTTGGTTCTAAATGCCAGGAAATCAAGAGACCAATTGCATTGTGAAAGTCAGCTGTCAGGAACTTCTCCAGAGTACTGAAGAGCAACAATGTCAGGCTGAAGACTAAGGTGTGCCTGATCCAGGCTATAGTCTTCACAATTACATGCTATGCATCAGATAGAGAATTGATGCCTTTGAGCTGTGGTGCTGGAGAAGTGTTGAATATACCATGGACTGCTAGAAGAACAAAAAGCTTTGTCCTGGAGAGGGTGAAGCCTGGCGGCTCCTTGGAGGCAAGGATTCTGAAGCTTCATCTGACATATTTTGGGCATGTTGTAGGGAGGGACCAGTCCTTGGAGAGGGACATCATGTTTGGGAGAGTGGAAGGACGGTGCAGGAGGGGAAGACCCTGGTTGAGATGGATCGATTCAATGATTGGGGTAGTGGGAGTAGGTGTGTCAGAGACAATGAAGTTGGCACAGGGTTTAGGGCTCTTGTACATAGGGTTGCTTTGAGTTGCAAGCGACTCAACTGCACATAACAATAATAACAATGTAAAAATAAGCAAAAACCTCACAACATATTCTTTTTAAAAAAAGATATCAAAAATGTATCCATCCAAGGCAACGTTATTAAAATGATTATACCACAGTCCCTAGTATAACATCAGTGCTAACAGGAAAGGCAGGAGTGAGCTGCAAGGTTGTATCCAGTCCATGGTTTAGCTCTTCTTCTTCTCTTCCTCCAGTAGATTCACCGTGGCTTTCTTGGCTTCTTTAGTGATGGTTTCTGCAGTCTCTTTGGCTTTGTCTTTAGATCCTTCATCACACTATCTACCTGGTTCTCACGCTTCAGGAATAAATGGCAGATGATGAGCTTGTAGAGCCGTGCGGCCCCATTGGAAGGGCTTGGAGTCACGCACCACAACAACAAGCTGTACTTCAGCATGTAGTAAAAGGGAAACCATGACTGGAAGAAATCCAAGAAAAATTCAGCAATGCTGAGCACACCGTACACTACCCACTAGGTCAGCCTCTGTCTATCATCATCTTTGTTGGGACTCTCTATGGCTTTAATGGAGATGTAGGTTGGGTAGCCAAATCCGATCAGGTTGCAAAGGAGAGAGACTACATAACTGAAAATCAGGTAGAAGGCCATGAGCCCGATGACACCCAGTGTGATGTAGCTCCGCTCACGCCGGTCTTAGCCTCGAGCTTGACCAGTAGGTGGGTCATGCAGTCCTTTTTGTGCAGGAACCAGTCGATCCTCTGCCTCGTGGCCACAGATATGGCAAGACTGTGGCACCGCTGCCAGAGGGAGCCACTAGTGCTGGGTGGATGCAGGGCTCACAGTTCATTCTTTAATCTACTTCCTCAACATTATAAAACAGATATTTCTAATCTTTAGGAAAAAAAAAATACAATACTCAAAAGTAGGATTAGCCTGTTTTAGCAAAACTGGATCAGACTTTTCACAAATGCCATCCTTAGATTCCTTTTCTAATTAAACAATGATCACTCAGAAATGTTTTCTCTACAATTAAATCAGGATATAGAAAAAATGGACCCTCAGGAAGAATGCATTGAGACAGATGCACTGTTATAAAACAGGCTTGGAAATAGATTTCTTTCTTGGTGAGAATGTAAAAAAAAGTCTCAAGAAGAAATCTTAAGCCAACAGCCAATTCATTATCTAAATTCCCCAGGCAACCAGGAAGGCACAGCTTGAGCAAGCAGGGTCGGCTTTCTTGGTAGGAGATGGGGAACCTTAGCATTAAAAGAATGCATTTAAAGTAAACTGCCAGTCTGATTGTAAATTTTTATAACTTGCTTGGACATATCTGAGCATTTATATTCAATCAGTGCAAGGTTTTCTCTGTCTGTCACCCTTCTTGTGACTTTATTTAATCATGGCCTACTCAATCAATCTCTCTCTTGTCCTCTCACAAAAACCTTCACATCTTCACTTATAAGAGTGGTGGTTTCCCATTCTAGTGCCTTTCTAATGCTGAATAAACCATCTGAACTGTCACTCTATTGACAACAACGTTTAAAACGTGAAGACAAAATATTAACTTATAAGTTAACCTTTAAAAAAATGAACACTTTTATAAGCAAAATAAAAAGAGAAAATCATAAAGACTTGTAAACACTAGTTGAAGGAAGGAGGTCAGAGAAGAGACATTGATCTCAAAGCAATAAAAGAATTGCTCTTTAAAAAAAATGTCAAGGAGTTTATTTACCCA